CCGGTCAGGGCACATGCCCGGGTTGTGGGCTCCATCCCCAGTGTGGGGCGTGCAGGAGGCAGCTGATCCATGATTCTCATTATTGATGTTTCTCTCTCTCTCTCTCCCTCTCACTCTTCCTCTCTGACATCAATAAAAATATATATTTTAAAAATAAAATAAAGGAGGAGAGGGGAACCTTTTTTCTGCCCAGGCCCATGGGGATGTTTCTAACATCATTCTCAGGCCATACAAACGGATCCACTTAAATTCGCCTGCTGCTTTGGGTCAAACATTTAATTAACTCACCCCGAACGCCTCCACAGGGCCAGACCAACGATTTCACGGCTTCACATGGCCCGCGGGCCGGACAGTCCCCACCCTGGTCTAAAGCAATCATGAGACCCTGCCATTCTCTGCCCCACACCTGCCCGGGGGCAGGCCCCTGTCCCCTCCCTCAGGTCCTGGCCTCCGGGAGACGCTGCATCTTCCACACCCGCCATTCCTGCCACCTGGGCTCCCTCCCCTGCTGCCTGCCCTCCCTTCCCCTGGGGGCTCTGCTCAAAGCTCCCCTCAATAGCAGCTCCCTCAGGCCACGCCCTCAAGCCGTGCCCCCCCCCCAGGGCAGGGGCTCTGGGCCTGGCTCCCCCGGAGCCCCGGGCCGGACGGCTGGGAGTGAGCCGAGGAAGGAAGGAGGAGGCCACACTGTCCACCTGCCACGCGGACCCGGGGCCTGCCCACGGTGCGTGTCCACAGCCTCCTCCACCCGTGTCCTCAAGGCCGCCCATGTCGCAGATGAGGAAACTGAGGTTCAGAGGGAGGAAGCAGCCCACACCTGCCGACGGGCCCAGCCAGTCCCCCGGCCCCAGTCCCGGCCCCACTGTCCCTGCTATGAAAGGGCCTCCTTCCCCCACGGGGCCTGCCGCTCTGCAGGGACCCTGCCTGCCCGCAGGAGCCTGTGGCAGCGGGAGAGGCAGGAAGGGACTGCTCGAGGGGACGAGCCCCAAATCTCAGGGCCTGGGCAACCGGTCTACGCATACATCACCCTCACCCTCACCCTCAACCTCACCCTCACCCTCACCATCACCATCACCCTCACCCTCACCCTCAC